CTAACACAGAAAATACCTCCCCAAAACGCCTCGTTGGTGAAACGTCGTCATCCATTTGATTGTTCCGGGTACGAGATTACGTAAGCACGTACCCGGAACCAAATGGACCAATCCGTGGAGCTGTTACGTTACGTCCGCGGAGCCGTTACGTTAAGCCCCCGCTGATTGGTCCAAATTGACCAATCCACGGACACAGTGCAGGCAGCTCTGCTGATCTCTCCTCCCTGGCTGCAGGCTGATAACAGACAGTTGGGATCGCGGCGAAATTCTCTCTGCAGACCCATTCTCACAGCGTTTATCAACCTTTTTCTTACTCAATATCAAGCCACACTTATTGTTTTTACTTCGGATGTGACTTTGTTTGTGCTCAGGATGAGTTTGGCTGTGTTTCGCTGTCGCTAAACAAGGAAACCACACCTCCACGGAGCTCAGCGCGATTCACAACGTCCCGATCAATCAGAGCACACTGTGCTCACAGGGAGGGTGGGGGCTAGAGCTATTGGAGCTACAACGAGCCGTTAAAGGCAGAGAGTGAAATTCAGTGAATACACGTAGTTTACAGAGATGCTGTATGAGAAACCAATGTGAGTTTGGAAAATTGCACAATATAAATCTATTCTAGTAGACCTCAACAATGGAATTATGATCAGTGGAAATGGCCATGACATGGGACCCTTTAAACAAAAAAATAAGGGAAATGATTGTATTTGTGCTTTTTATAATGTGTTGTTTTTGATTGGGAACTAATGTTTGATCATCTGAGATGCATCTTTGTATTTCTTTTTAGCTTTTAAAAATGTTTCTTTGTCTGCTAGCATGTTTTTTTTTTTTTTTAAACACGACTGATTTAAAGCCATGGCCAGTCAAATATTTAAGATGCAAGCATATTAATAATATACTTAATAATAAGCTTTTTCTTAAAATAATGGCACCAGTTATAACACGGCACTGGTTGTCTTTACGGCACCAGACGTCTCCTCTGGGAAACACAACTACATCACTTCTTTATGACACAGTATGATGTACTGCACGTATTATTCTGCATGTGTCTGATTCTCTGCTGTTTTTCCAGTTTCGAGCTAGTGAAGAGCATGCTGCCTGCAGAACACCACAAGGTGCTTGCAAACATCCGCAAGGCTGAAGCTCGCACCAAGAGGCAGAAGCAGGTGGCGGAGCAGAACGATGATTCTGAGAGCGAAAATGAGAACCCTAAAACCAAGAGCCAAAGGTACACTGCTGTTTTCCCAAACAAAGCCATGGATAACCTTGTACATTTTCCCCTTTCCTCAAAACTAAAAACGAAACAACCTTTTGCCCTTCACTCTCTAGTATTGAGGACATCCTTGCAGAGTCGGACAGTGATATGTCAGAAGATGAAGGAAAGGCTCGTAAAGCTCAGAAGAAAGGAGGCAAACCGCAGAAAGCACGGGCCTGGCTCAAAGAAGGAGAGGAAGATGACCCGCTTAACTTCCTGGATCCTACGGTTTCCCAGAGAGTGCTAGGTAACATACGGTGTTTGCATTTGGACTTTTCGAAGAAAGAAATATCCTGTCATGGTATTTCTTTTAACATGTTTTTGTATTATTTTAGCCACCAACCCAAAACTGAAAAAGAGTGCCAAGGTTGAGCATGGTTTCAAGGTGACATCAGACGGACGGCTGATCATCAGAGAGGATGAAGAGCACGATGGAAAGGATGACGGTAAGAGGAGTTCTTTAATTAATCTAACCATCTTGTACATTGCTTTTTGTCTGAACAAATGACAATGATCAATCCATGTCTACAGATGAGGGAGAGATGAAGGATATCTTAGAAGAGGCTGGAGTCAAAAGTGTGAGTACTTTTGTATATATGTGACCTGCTCTATCGAAATCAGTCGCATTGACCCGAAGACACATTTTGAGTTGTATACACTGCTGGAAAGAGGATATTCCTAGCTTTCTAATGATATCAGGATTGTTGTTGTACTCCAAATATTAAGCGAAATATGTCACATTATATAATGACTGTCACCGAGTCATCATTTTGAGAAAAAGGTCTTCAAAGTTTTCTCTTCTCTGGAATCCATCGATCTGATTGATTATTAGCAAATGATCAAAATACTACGGAGGGAAGATATTTTCGTTTGGATTACTGGTCTGGGAGAAGCTCGCGAGTGTGTGTGTGTGTTTGTTTGTGTATACATGTGTGTGTAATTTTGCGTTTGTGTCTATTGCGTTTGTTTCCCGGGGAAAACCCTCACGAGAAACACCGGCTGTTGTTATGCCTGCTGTGACGTTACTCCGTTCTCCGCTTGTAATTATGCCGTTACAAGCTTCAAAGTTGTATTTATCATCTGAATTTGCCGAAACAAGTTTAATATTCTGAAAGCCAAGACTTTGTTTAATTGAAATCAGATGAAAACAAACTGTAATGAACCCTGCCGTGTTATTTATGATTACTATACGCTTACATTCATAATGTCAGCCGGAGGGAGGGGGAGCGGCGCTGCGGAAGAGCAGATTGCCTGTCATCTTCCCTTTACAAGCTTAAAGAATGTATTTATCGTGTGAGTTTGGAAATAAAAGTTTCATATTCTGAAAGCCAAGACTTTGTTTGTTTAAAATCAAACAAAACACCCGAACCCCGAAAAAATAGTTTTTTACGCAAATCCACGTTT